GAAACTATCCGAAGCTTATTGCACATCTCACTAAATGTCTTGATCTCAAAAGGGGCTAATTGTTTCCTTAGATCAGGCCTCACCTTCTCTAGCAATCGTTCAGCCATCCACTCCGTGTCTTCATGTTTTTAAAGGTAAGTCGAGTATTTAGATAATTTTGAGAATTGTTCAATAAATTCATCCTCATCTAGATCACCCTGGCGGAATGCATGAAACTCAGCCTCCTTTTCTATTCTCAGTGCAGTAGGAAAATAATTCTCAAACAATATGGCTTTAAAATCTTTCCAAGTAAGAGAGGAATCATCCTTCGGTCTTGATGTTTCCCACCACTTCTTAGCACTCTTCTGTAGTAGGAATATTGCCAGCTGCACCTTTTGATTAAAAGTGCACACAACCATACGAAAAATACTCTCCAATTGATCTATCCATTCTTCAACCACTGCTGGCTTAAGATTTCCATCAAAAGTAGGAGGATTAAACTTACGAAAAGTACTCCAGATCTTTATGATTGTGGATGTCTGTTGCTCAGAGTGGAGACTCACATTCTTCGAATTAGTCTCATGGTGAGAATAGGAAGGTGAGCCTTCATCAGCAGATTGGCTCACATTGTATATCTTGGTACGGCTTCCTTCTTGTTGGCCATTTCCCTCTCGGTTGGCATTCTCCTTATATTGTCTTAAAGCGGCCAACTCTTCTTCTTGCCTCTTCATGCGGTCACTAAGATTATGTAGTAGATCCATCATTTGCCTCATGGTTGGCTCATCCTGCCTTAGTTGTGACTGTATGGGCTCGCCCTGCCCCATTTGTTGCTGTGTGGGCTCCGGTTGTGGCAGTAAAGGTATGTCATTTCGTATTGACTCTATAGAATCACCGGCAATTTCACCACCTCTCCTAGTTTTGGACACCATCTCTCCCCTCCTAAAGGATGTAAGTCACATAATTAAGTCAACACTAATCTCAAGACAAGAAAAATAATGGAGAAGTATTATGATTTAATAATGTATATTGCCAATAAACTAGGTTAATATATAATAATTTCATAATTTATAAGAATTTGAAACACGTAGCTCTGATACCAAAATTTGTAACACACCCCAAATTTTTTTTTAAATAATTTAACTCAACCATAGTTGGGTTACAGCCACCCAACATATTTTTATATCAATAATTTCAATATAAAATATTTTATAATTGGCTTCAACTCACACAATATAACATTTCAGATAAATTTTTACCTCCCACATGCCATTGGGCTAAATCACATTTGTTCATCCTTATACTCCCAACAAGTAAACTAAATCACATTTGTCCATCCTTATACTCCCAACAAGTAAACTAAATCACATTTGTCCATCCTTATACTCCCAACAAGTAAAATAAACAATTTAATCAATTTTTAACACAAACCAGTTATTTGGCCTCATAATCATGCCATTTTAACCAATCCAAAGTAAATCAAATATTTAAATTATAGTCATCCAAAGTATACCAAAAATAGAAATAGTTTGAAAGGCATGATTACATTTATATATTCATATAATTGTCAATAAACAAAAAGCCCTAATATTGGCAATATAACACATTATAAATCATAAATCAAATACCCAAAAGAAATAATGGATCTATACCACTAAGTCTCTGAGACTCCTCCACGTGTCACTCGTGGCTCTTTTCCTGAAAATTGTTAACCACATAATGTGACTCAAAAGTCCTAGTAACTGATACCAATTTATGATAGTGTGTACAAACAGTTAAGTGTGTGCTTACTAAGTGAGAATTTAAAAATAATATAATTCCAACAAATATAAGAAATATTACAATACACACAAATAACCATCCTTATATCCCTCCATTAACCTTGAGCCGTAGCCCTTACTCAGTATTAAATTACCCGGCCAAAGGTAGATTAGCCCGAGCCCTTACAAGCCACCTATTAAGCTCTAATAGGTGCGTACCACGTGGCACATAAATACAACAACAATAGCAAGTCTCCCAACACCTCCCACAATAATCAAACAAATTCATAATAATATTGCATAATTATACAATATTACAAAATTCATAATTTTTTCAATAATCACCCAATTAACATGAAGTAACACTAATCATAAATTAAAAGCATGGTTACCTTGTGGCTTTTTTCAATAAATTATTCCTTACAATTTTTCTCCCACCATAATCTTCACCAATAATACAATCTACAAATAACATATTATTTATAAATATTAGTTTCAATTTTTGAAACTAATAAAATAATTCTAATAATAGAATTAAAAATATAACATAATTTCTAATTTTAAATCTTAATACAAATCTAGAGTTAATACTATTAAGTAAAATTTTTAACTCCTCTTTTAATTATCAATAAACATTAATAATCTAAAAATCAACTTCTAAACTAATTTCTATTATCAAAATTTTCTTTTTATTTTATAAATTCGCACCTAAAATATTCAAAAATTAAAAATTAAATCTCTAGCTTAGAATCATAATCCTATAGCCATAATAATTCATTTCTCATCCCAAATAATCATCTAAACCTCAATAAATCAACATATATTTTAGATCTAGTTTAGAATTTGATCCATAAGCCACAAATTCAAAGATCATCAATAAATTTATACTCTAGAACATTTATTATACTATTGAAAACCTCAAAATTATATTTATTCAACATAAATTTATCCCTCTTCCAGATCTTAAATTTTCTACCACCACAAAATCATAAACCAAAGAGGAAGGATGACTAAGAAAAATTTTTAGAACACTTACTTAGTCTTGAAAAGCTTAAAATCACACCCTAAATATCCTATTAAAAACTCTTACCTTAAAAACTCAGATCTTCCGCACCGGTGACTCAGGCACACTCTGCCTCAGCTCGCACACGAAGGAATGAATGAAGAGACGAAGGAACAGGTGAGTTTTTATAAAAATTCAATGGGTCCCATATTTTTTTATTATTTCTTCTTTCCTCTCTCTCTCCCTTTTTTTTATTATTATAATATATACGTAATGATTGCACCGAAAGCCGATTGCGTTTTCTTCTTTCCTTCCTTCCTCTTTCTCATACCTTTTCTCTTTCTTTCTTTTTATAATAATAATAATAATTTAATAATATTTATTTATTTATTTTAATTAATTAATAATTTTTTTAATTTAAAATTATATCCTAAATTAGATTTAATAATCATTTTCTACTAATTTGCTTACCTCTAAATATTTTTCAAAATTTCTATTAACTAAAAATTAACTATTAAAATTTAAATTGGGATGTTACAGGTTTGATCCTCCAACCTCTCCTACTTAATGAAGTTGAGGTTGAACCTGGTACCACTGAGCCAACTTGTGGCACATCTTGTGGAAATGGAGGGGGCTTAGAAGAATCCAAGTGTTCATGTGGTTGGCCTTAAATGAAAAAATTATGGTTGCTTAAGTGAGGAACAAAATTTTTTGCCCATCAATACTTGTGACTTTTGTTTCCATAATAGTAAGGATGTTATGCATTCGTTACATGATTGTAATATTTCCTATGAGGTGTGGAGAAGATTAGTCCTGATGAAGATAGATCTCAATTTTGGCAATCTAATAAAAGGGATTGGGAAATCTCAATAGTTAAAAAATCCTATGATTGTTATTCATAGGATGTCACTTTTGCTGTTATTGTTTGGTCTTTGTGGAAACACCACAATGACTGTATATTCAATAATGTTGTTTCCAATCCCCTTGATCTAATTAGGAGGTTTACTAGCTATGTAGGCTTAATTCATAAAAGCTTGACAAAGAATGCTTCTCCTAGAATCCCTTTAGCTTAAGTGGAAGTTAGGTAAGAGTGCCCGCCTCATAGTTGGATGAAGCTCAACGTAGATGGCTTTGTACAAGGCCATCTTGGATGTGCAAGGTGTGGAGGGTTATATCATGATGAAGATGAGATATGGGTGGCTAATTATATGTGTGATTTGGGACATTGCTTTCCATTAGAGGCTGAATTATGGAGCATTTATCATGGGTTCAAGGTTGCTAAAGATATGAATATCAAGAATCTTATTGTGGAGAGTGACTCAATAACTACTTGTCAACTTCTTCAATCCTTCCTTGACTTAGGACAAACAGATTTCTAGCAACTCAAGCATGGTGTCAAGTTTCTTAATCCTAATGGTGATATTGTAGTTAATCATGTTTTCAAATAAGGTAATAGATGTGCAGATTGGATTGCGAAGAAGAGTGTGGACCATTTTGACAACTACCTTACTCCCGAGACAACTCCGAGGGAGCTTATTTCTTTGTTGTATTGAGATTCCATGAGGCTTTCAATGCCTTGTTTTGTATCTTAGTTTTCTAGTTGTGTGGGCTTTGCCTATCTTAGTTTTCTAGTTGTGTGGGCTTTGCCTCATTTTCCTACAAAGAAAAAAAAAAGCTTCAATCACAATTTTCACTTAAGGAATAATAATTTTTGTTCTATAAATTGCAAAAGTTGAACAAAAAATCATAACTTATCAAGTATGGTTTCTGTTATTGAAAAACAAGTTTTCAAAATAGCAAACCTCAATCACAATGTTTGTTTAAGGAATAATAAATTTTATTTAAAAATTTACAAGAATTAAATAAGAAATGGCAACTTGTCAATAAGGATAAAATTATTTTTTCAATTTAAAATTTATTGACATAGATGTCTTTAGGGACTTTAGTGAAATTATGTCATTTTGAGGGACCAACTTATCATTTATAGAATTTGAGAGGATTTTATTGTCATTTTTCCATGTTTCTCTGCCTTTTGTGAATAAGGAAGACTAGTGCTGCTCATTATCTTACTCTATTTTTTCAGACTTTTGATAACACACCACCTTATTGGAGTAAGATGATGGGTTGTTTAGTCCGTAGTTTTTTTTTTATTTCCTTTTTTCTGTTGTGAATGTTGTTGTTGTTGTTTATTAATATGATATCATTCCTATTAAAAGAAGAAATTCACATATAGTCTAATAGAATTTAAAAAAAAAAACCCATTTACACCACGTCCTGTTTATTCTTCGTGAAAATAACGAACCAATAAATCCATGAAATGCTAATAGAATGAAACTAATCCTAAATAATCAGTAATTACAAGTAATTAAAACAGAATCAGAAAATTTGATTCTGAAGCCATCCTTCAGAATCAATGAAGCTCATGTTAGCCATTTGCTCCACATATTCTAAATCAAGCTTATTCTTGGACCAGCTCACTCGTTGGGATGTGTTAGACCCAGCACCAAAACACTCGTACTCTGCAAATGTTAGCCGATTCCTGCAAATTTTTAAATTCAAACTTATTAAAATATCAACTCTGATTGAAATCTTCTAATTAAGTTATGGATTTTATAAAATATGATTGAACGATAAAAATTGGTGACACGGAAAATTAATATTAATTTGATTAATTTTCTATAATATATATGTCACATTTTTTAATTAAATAATACATAATAAACTCATTAAGATTTCATTTACACAAAATTAGAAATTTAGAAATTTAGAGGGAAATATTGTCAAATTTTGAAGTTCAAAATATGATTTTATTGGTCAAACAGAAACATTCTATGAATTTTGTTAAGATTATATAAAATATATAAATATCCCTTTTATTTGAATATTAATAAAATTATTTTCCTAATATATGTACTTAAATTATTGCTTCCACTCTATTTTTTTCCCCAAAAAAACATACATAAATGTACTTAAAAGAAAGATTGTAGAATGGGATCAGATATCATTTTCAAAAAATATATTAATTTCTCATATAACATAAAAGATGCCCGTACAATAGGAAAGATTTCATCTAATTGTAGCAAAATCAAAGAAACATCTCAATAATGTACACTTTAAATTTCAATAGATCGTTTACGCATTTTAACCTCTTCTCTTTTAATTTTCGGGAAAATACTTAGAGGTCCCACAGAAGCAATTTAATTTCCAAAAAGTCCCTTAAAATGTAAACATAACTTAAAGTCCCATTTAGGTCCTAACCGTACCTAAGTTTTGGAGTACATTTGCCAAAATGCCCTTACCAAAATGAAGATGCTGAATTTTTTATGTAAGAGCATTTTGGTAAAGGCAGCCAAATTTTTTTTTTTTTAACAACTAAGGCCTATGGTACATAAAGGTTACTTTTGCATTTGATGAGACTTTTGAAATTTAAACTGCTTCTGCGGGACCTCTTAGTGATTTTTTCATTATTTATTTATTTTTTTTTTTTTTTTGTCCTCCGAGAAGGAAAATCGCACTATAAACTTAAGAATTACTTACACATTAGTAGCAAAATTCCAAGGCTGCCAGCCCTTTGGTTCAACAACGTTAGACATATTGGTTTTGTAGAAGAGAACTCTTGAATAACTTCTCCAAGGCCTTCCCAAGTATGTCGTGCCATTCCAAACACGTGACAATCCTTAAACACAAATCCATTTGCATCATTTGGATTTGTTCTTCCTTGTGCTGTTATAAAACCCTGGAAGCCCGTCTAGAGCTCCGGCAATCACTGATTGAACATCTCTACAATAAACACATTTAATTTAAGTTCATATATAAATAATCATTACAGTTGATATAAGTATCAATATTATCAATAAACATCAAAATTAACTTAATCAATATCAATTTGAATTTAATATAAAATTCATACTATCACACTATTCAGAAGCCATATTATTGCTTATTTTATTTATTACTCCCTTGATTTCCAAATATAAGAGAATTTCAATCAATTCATATAATTTAAGGAAAGTTAGTTAATTCTAATAATTATGTCTGAAATTGAAATGTTTGGACTAAAGTGTCATTATAATTAATGCTGAATTTTCTCTTATTTAAGGATAGACTATCCGTTTACAAGAAAAAAATTGGAAAAAAAAATGTAACTAATACTTCTTGAAATTTTTAGTTTATTTTTAATAAATAAAAAATAAATAAAGTATAGTGTAATTTCCTTTATATTTTAAAAACGAAGGGAGTAAAATTCTATATAATACAATAGATTTTTTTTTTTTTTTGTCCTCCGAGAAGGAAAATCGCACTATAAACTTAAGAATTACTTACACATTAGTAGCAAAATTCCAAGGCTGCCAGCCCTTTGGTTCAACAACGTTAGACATATTGGGTTTGTAGAAGAGAACTCTTGAATAACTTCTTCCAAGGCCTTCCAAGTATGTCGGTGCCATTCCCAAACACGTGACAATCCTTAAACACAAATCCATTTGCATCATTTGGATTTGTTCTTCCTTGTGCTGGTTATAACCCTGGAAGCCCGTCTAGAGCTCCGGCAATCACTGATATTGAACATCTCTACAATAAACACATTTAATTTAAGTTCATATATAAATAATCATGACAGTTTATATAAGTATCAATATTATCAATCAACATCAAAATTAACTTAATCAATATCAATTTGAATTTAATATAAAATTCATACTATCACACTATTCAGAAGCCATATATTGCTTATTTAATTACTCCTTGATTTCCAAATATAAGAGAATTTCAATCAATTCATATAATTTAGAAAGTTAGTTAATTCAATAATTATGTCTGAAATTGAAATGTTGGACTAAAGTGTCATTATAATTAATGCTGAATTTTTTCTCTTATTTAAGGATAGACTATCCGTTTTACAAGAAAAAAATTGGAAAAAAAAATGTAACTAATACTTCTTGAAATTTTTAGTTTTATTTTTTAATAAATAAAAATAATAATAAGTATAGTGTAATTTCCTTTATATTTTAAAACGAAGGGAGTAAAATTCTATATAATACAATAGATCGAATAGATGTGTAGTTGAATTAATGTATACTGTCCGCGCAGTGGTCCTCCAAATACTCTAGCATTACTGATGTTTAATTAATCAACGCAAACGCGTTTTTAATTATGTCAATAATTAAAGTTTTTGCAATGAATTCACTACCTTAATATAAACTTGTATTTAAAAAAAAAATAGATAGAATTTTTCTTTATTTTTAAAATATATACACAAAATTCTTCTAAAACAAAGATTATAGTACACAAACTTTTTTTCTAATTAAGTTATGCTAAATTATAGATACTACCCTCTATTTCGCCTAATAATATAAATGTCCCTATGATTTTTTACTAAAATTACACAAAACACATGTTTATTTACAAAAACTTCAACAAAAATCTACTCTAAAACCTAAAAGAAGTTTATATAATTTTGTGAACTCAAGGGGTCCATAAAAAAACTTAATTTATATCTTTAGGGGAATTGGTATAAATTTGAAAAATAAATTAAAAGTACATATACTTACAAAACTTAGCTTAAAGGGAAACTAATTTGCTCAGGTTATCATTAATTTTCACAAGCCATAGTGTTTTAAATAAACAATGTTTGTAAAAATTGTTTTTCAAGGGGAAACTATGAAGAAGATCACAAAGTGGAACAACTTTATTAACCTCGAATATAGATTGGCCTGCACCAAAAAATAAAATCAACAGCACCTTGAATGGTGCAAAGTTTGTAGTAATGCCTTCCTTGCTCATCCCACAATGTGTCTTGTAAACCATAGAAGCCTACCCGAAGAAGAAGCCTTGTCTCCGGCCACCATTGCCCGCCACCGCTGGTTTCCCGGCTCTTACTGTTAATTGGATTATTGTACGAATTCTGTTTTAAGCATATATAAGAGAAAAATTTATCAGGATATTCCAATCGAGAGAAAAATTACTAATTTACACCATTTAAAAATAAATCAATGTTTTGATATTTAAACTAGATGTTGTGTTTATGCATAAATATGTTAAAGGCATTAATGATATATTGTAACGCCACTATTGATGATAATGGTCTTCCACAATATGCAAAGAGGTGGTAGTACCTCTTTATTTTATAGGACACCAAGCTATGAAAGAAGGAAAAAAAAATCTAACAGCTTAAAAAGCCATATTAATTGTTCAAGAAGATGACTTCTTAAATATATATATATATATATATATTTCATTACTTGCCGGAACTAATACAAATTATATGGTGTTATATTGATTATCATTTCATCTACATTTACATTTTAATTAGGTTAAAATATACATTAACTCCTTTAAGTTTACATAAGGTTTATATTATCTCTTGACTTTATAAAGCGTCTTTTTAGTTCTATAACACTAATATCATTAGTTTCATCCCAACAACTTCTTACATTAAACTTTTAAATATTGACAAAATATTTTTAAATATTGACATATTAAGTTTAATTTTATCAAAATAATAATAATTAACCAAAAAATAATCATCTAAAACTAACGGTATTAGGGTCAAAGAATTAAAAAAATACTTTATAAAAGGAGTGATTAAATTAAACTCTAATATAAAGTTAAAAGATTAAAAATATATTTGAGTCTTACAAAATATTTTAATTTCCTCACATGTTTAGTATATAAATAAAATATTAGATAGATGATAATATTATATATAAGTAAAATATTTCATAGAAGAATATTATAAATACATATATCGTATTATATTTTCACATACACATTACACACATATATTATAATTGGGTGGGGTCATTTTGGGTATGATTAGGGTTATATGTTTTTAAGGCAAAATTGTCTTTCTATAATTTTTATGAGGGTAAAAGTGTCTTAAAAGTCACAATTCTATGGAATTGCCCTGATTCCATAACTTTAAACAAAGAATCCAATTCAATCTATTTTTATGGAATTGAAGATTCTTGAAAATTATGATTCATGTCTACCAAACATCACTTTATTCATATTCTTTTTTTCAATTTCATTTCCATCTCTATAATTTCAGTTTATCAAATATGGCCTAAATTTTGGCATTAAGACAGAAAAAGAGAGAGGGATCAACGGAAAAGAACCTAAATGGTGGGGTCAAGTAGGCCAAACCCGCAAACCGTGCCATTATTATTTGATTTGATTTTTTTTAAAAAAAATATTTTTTTGGTACAAATAAAGCAAAATATTTTCTTACAAATTGGGTTGACTGAGCCCAACTGAAGTTAGGAAATTTCTGTTAGAAAGTCACAATTAACCAAACAAAACTAGACATTTTGTCGAGGGGGCAAAACAACGAAAGCATAAAGAAGAAGGCTTAAATTTCGGAGAGATTGGTGAAATTAATTTTCTTAGGAAAATTCAAAATATTTCTGCAATCTATTAATTTTAAAGAGAGACAAATACCTAATTATGTATGAATTTGAGTGTTGGATCAGATCTTTCACATTCAATTGTAATTTACTATTGAAGTCGCACGCACGTACACCATATTCATGTTTCTGACTCTCACCAAATTGGCATGGTTTTGGTTCCACACAAAAATTGAGGGATGATTAAAAAGTATTTTTTGTTCCTTTTTTCCGTGTCAAATTTCTTGTAAATTTTTATAAACTGGAAATTGGGTTTCCTCTTAGTGCCAGCTAGTAACAAACAAGTGGAAGTGGGTTATTAGTTGTGCAGTCTGCCTGAAATCATTTGTATTGTCGAAAAGGCCCGGAAAAAAAAAACAAAGAAAGAAAAAGCAAAAGGCAGAGAGAGAGAAAATGAGGGGTTCTTTGGTTTTATTCTTATCTTTTATTTCATAAAACTGACCTGTAAACTAATTTTTAAAAATTATTTTTAAAACAAGAGAAAGCAAAATCTGGTTATATTAATTTGAAAGCAATTTTAAAGTTGGAAAAAAAGAATGATATTGATTATCAAAAGTGGTTAATGATAATTGCTATATTATTGTTGATCATAACTAAAAGTGATTTGCAATAACCAAATGTAATGTGATTTTCACATTTAAAAAAATAAAATAATTTTAAGTTATTTCCATTTTTGGTTCTAAAAACAAAAGCTTAGAACAATATTAACCACTTCTAAATAAAAGCTACGTAACCAAAAAAAATTATTTTTGAAAAAAAAAAAAGCAAAAAAGCCTTTATACTCTAAATTTTTGGGGGAAAATCACCGAAGATATAAACTTGAAGAAATAAAAAATACAGAGATTAAAGGATGCGCATAAATTAAACAGAAAGAGAATTTTTTTCCAAAAAAAAAAAGGACAAAAATCCTTACCCTAAAGCTCAAACATCTGACGACAACATTATCTGCTAGCAGCGTAAACGCAGGACTCTGTGCCACTGTTTCATGATCATCCCAAACAACAATAGTTCTTCTCTTCCCTGCCCCTTTTAGAACTAAATAAGGCTTATCATCTGGAATCTTCAGTTTTTCCCTAGAAACAAACACCAAATATAACATATCAACTCGAAAGATCGAACTTCAAACCCTAACCATCTGATTCTGATCGGATACAAAAGGTTCATAAATTATTATAATTATTATTATTAATTACCTATAGATGCCTGCCTTGACGTAGATGGAAACCCAATTGCTGTTGTTGGAAGGGACTGAGTTTATGGCTTCTTGAATCGACGTGAAGTTTCCGGTGCCGGCCCAGTCGACGATGATCTTCCGGTAAGGGACCAGTTTATCTCCGATTCTCTGATAATACTGTGAAGTACTTGCTAATCTGACGATCCAAAACCCAGACTCAGAAAGAAGCATGCAAGAAAGTAATGATGATGAGAAAACATGATGAATGCTCAATGATTTCCAAATGAAACTAAAAGAAATCTTCCAGGTCTGTATAGGGTCGATGATAAGTGTGTTTATCTGTGGGTATATATATATATATATATATATATTTTAGATACACACACACGATTGAAGAGGAATAATTATGTATTTTCATGAGATTTGGTGGGAAAACTGGGAGATCGGTCAAAGGTTTTAAAAGGAAATATCATTTTTGATTTCTGATGCTGTGGGAAATGGTATATGTGTGTATATGAGGAAGATGCTTCAATCGAGGGATCGAGTTTTATAATTAATTATATCAAATCCATATGATTGAAATTGTCGTGTTATTAACTAGAGGAAAATTCTCATCATTGAAGATGATCGATCGAAGAAAGAAATTAGTAAAAAGTTGGAATCAAACATGTTTTTAATTAATTTGTGTGGATCTTAATTTGATGGATTTCTGGAAAGAAAAATTTGAATAATAAATTTTATTTTGTTAATCTATCAAGGACGGTAGGAAGCCACTAGTTAAGATGGCGACATTGAAAAGTGGAAGAATGATGATGTGTTATGTTAGGTCATAATCATTCATACATTTGACCTTCCGAGTGGGGGGAAAAAAAGCACGATCTTTCTTTAACTTACTCAGATCCAAGACTTGAAACCTCCTATACTATTATAGCAGGGACAAACCTATTCTTTATGCTAAATATATATTACTAATTCTCAATATTTTATAATATTAATCTTATTGGTTCCTCAAATTAATTAATTAGTTATACACATAAATATATTTACCCCCTCATTTTAAAATTTTTGAAATTGTCAAACCCTTCTCTTGATCTTTTATTCTATTTGTTAACATTTTCCCTATCCACTAAAAAAGGACTTTTGATAGCAATATAAAAGTTATTGTTAAAAGTTTTTGATAAAAGTTATTGTTATAACTATCATCATTATAGTTTTTTGACAACAATCAATCTGTCAAAAAAATTTTACTATTAAAAGTCTATTTTCTATCAAAATTTTTTAAAAAAATAATAATTTATTTTATAGCATATACTTTGCCACATATACATTACGTGATGCAATTTCATGCCATATCACTTACCATGTGTGCAGCAGATGATATCATGTCACTTGTTATCTTGTGCCATATCACAAGCCACATGTTCGAAAATTATGTCACATCACCCTGCCACCTCGTGCCACATCACGAGCCATGTGTATGCCTCCTCAAGAAACTTCATGCACCACATCATACATTTACTGTAAAATATGTCAAAGCCAAGGTTTAAACCTCCAAGCCTTAAGTTTCAATTCTTTGCCAATTGAAACGAAATGCACCTATAACTGTTATATACAAAATTAATATATTTTATTTGACTACATACACATATATCAAATAATATATTATTATAAAGATATACATATATTTTATTTTATTTTCAATTAATAATATGATAAAATATTATTTTTAATAAAATATTATTTTCTTAGTAGTAAATATTTTTTTTGTTAGAAAAATAAACTTAAAATAAACAATTTTTAAATATTAAATAATATTCTTATATACATTGCACACAATTTAAGATTTTATTTTTATTTTTAAATGAAAATTATTTAGTATATAATTTATTTATAAATATGTATTATATTAGTTTATGTTAAATATCTTTTATATTATTCATTATTATTCTTTTTGTTTCATGATCCTATATATCGTTTACTTCTAATTATGTTTCTCCCTAAGAAAATTTTTATTCATAGTATCTTTTGAATGATTTTATTTAATTTTAAATTTTTAACTAATTCATAAGAAATTTCTTTAATAATTTAAATGATAATTGCATAAATTATTACATACTACCTCCCCTCCGTTCAAAAATATAAAGTATTTTTTGAATAGTTGGATATTAAAATATAGACATTTTTAGTCTTTTGAGGTGTAATTATTGCCTCTTTTTTCAAAAGTGTCCCTAATAATAATGACTTTATATTTATTATAAGGTATTTAATAAAGATAAATATAAAAAGATAAGATTAATTTAAAAGTAGATAATTACTTTATTGGGGGTGAGATTCAGTTAAAAATACCTTATATTTTTAAATGGATGGAATATAATTTAAAATTATATTAATTTTTTAAAAATACTTTTAATGAAGATAAATGTTATCACCAAAAGTAACTTTACAAATAATTTTTAATTTTAAAATTATTTTCTATAAAAATACGTTTGGTTGCAACTTTTGTTGTCACTAAAAGTCCACTTTTAATGGCAACTATTAAAAATTGTCACCAAAAGTAAAATTTTAGCGATGACAATTAAATATCACCACCAAAAGTGAACATTTAGCAACGATTTTAATTTGTTGATGGGCCCCATGGCACAGGTGACATAACATTAATGGCAACGAAGCCTGAGGATGGTAATCATGAGCATGGTGACATAGAAGGAGCCCAATACTTCCAATCCAACGTACCTAAAGACCCATTGCAAACATATTGGAGGTCCAATGACAAGAGCCCGAATCAAAGCTATGAAGCAAGCCTTGTTCAGTCTTGTGCAAGAAGTTCAAGAGCTTGGAGAGCATTGGGGCACTCTCCTCAAGTCCAAAGGAGAGCATCTATATGTGTATAATGTATTTAAGATCCAAACTCATGAAGAGTCAAGCCCAAGAGATGCAGACCTTAGCCCAATGCAAGGAAGACTACAAGTTGAGCCTCTTGCATGCAAGGAGACATGAAACCCTAGTAAAGAAGTCAAGAGTGGCGTGATTTCAAATCCTTTATGATCCCTTGATTGTCTCCTAAATTATTTCCTATTTTAATGGTCCTTTGATTTGATTTTCTATTTTGAGTCTAGTCAAAGGTTAGAATTAATTATAATATTAATTTCTAAATTTTGTAATCCTATAACTTTAGGATCACATCTCCTAAATTATGTGGCTAAATATTTTATCATTATTTCTCCTTTTAGTATTAGGAAATTAGAGTTTTAATTTTAGGAAATATTTTTCTATAAGCCTATATAAATTAGGCATGCTCCCTATTGTAAGAACACAGAAGTTGAATGAAATTATTCATTTTAGAGTTTATAACTCTTGTGAGCCTTAGTGCTTTGTGGTGGTATCCCGTGTGAGAAACCGACGTGATCAAGAGCGTGATCAACTCTTGTGGTGTCTTCGAAGGTTGAGGTTCCTAGAGGCAGGTGCTCTAGAGGATCTTCTCCTTGATCATTATCCTATTGTTTACTTCATACTTTCTTTATTTCCGTCATAAATTTCGTCCCTTTCTTTTTTTGTTCTTGTGTTTTGTTGTTTCAAGGTTCTGTCCCTAAACTAGCACGATTCTGCTTCCGCGTCCCTATCATTTGTCCTAGATATTTCTGGACCTATAGTGTAAGAGTAAAATTATCATTTTAATTAATATTTTAGTAAAATTATAATTTATTTTATTTTGGAAATAAACATTAAATTTCTTTGAATTTTATGAGAATTATTACACAGATTTCCCATCTATATTCAAAACGTATAAAAATATTTTTAAAATAACAATTGAATAACGTAAATGTTTCTTAGGTTTTGTTGGAATAATGTAATAATCACCTTATTATTTTTAAAATGCACAAAAAACACTCTTCATAAATAAATGACGGTTTTTTTTTTCTGGGCTTGTTTATTTATAATTTAAAAATATTATTTGGACTTTGGAGTGCAATAGAAACTCCTTTTACTTGTTTACCCCTCTCAATTCTCTCTTTTTCTTCTTTTTAGCTGCATAACTTATTTAATTTTCACCAATTCATTTAAATATTGAAATTAATGTTTTTCAATTAAAAAACTATATGAAGAAGAATACAGGTTTGACTCAACTTCAATAAGTCAAATCACTATCTAATTAATACATAATTGCGTCTTGGCCGGAAACGTTTTAAAGACAAAAAGATTGACTTGCCTGGAAGCTCCGTCTTTTAACTTTGCGGACTCAAAACTAAATATAATATATGCAGAAGCATTATTGCATCAATGTTAGACTTTGAATATATTGAGGAAATAAACCACACAAATTGTTTGACCCAAAGTTTAATGTCTTCTTGTGAGATTTAATTTCGGTTAACTGATGCCTAAATTTGTCTGGGAGGGATTTTGAAATCTTGCGGCCAAATAATTCTATCAATTTTGTTTGTTATGATAAGTAATAGTTTTAATCTTGAATCCCACAAACGGACTCTACGATATATATTTTTTTATAATTTTTTATTGTTCAATAAAATAATCTAGATCAATTAAATTTAATTTGACTAATTTTTATGTTGATTTTTATTTTTACATTGTCTTATATTTTGATATCTTATTGTTTCTCAAATTATCTTATATTTTGATACAATATCAGAATGCTGAAATTCAAAGTAAAAACGGAAGATTTGAGAGTGATAAGCTTACTTATATTTTTCAATCAGTACGTAAGAGACAAAAACAAGATATGATTGGGGAGAAGCAAGAGTAATAGAGGCATTGACAGTGAAAACGTAAAAAAAAAAAAACATCAGAATAGTAAGAAATTCAAATAACTAAGATCCTGTTTGGTTGCTGGAAATAAAGAAAAATATATAAAAATAAGAAATCAAAATATAGAAGAGGATAGGTAAACTAGATTCACAAGAAGAAAAGTGACTTCGTTCATAGGATTGTGAATAATGATTCATCAGACTTTTGGAGAGTGTGATAGCTTCCACATTTGTGATATATAATATTAAATTTTATCATGCTACAATGAAAGAAAAGGGTGATTTAATTTTTTTTTTTTAATCCATTTCATTCTCATCCTTTCTAATAACCAAATGGGACCTAAGTTGTATAAGAAATTTGAAATTTCAAAGGAATTATAATAAAACATGGATTTGCATTTGGATATCCATTGACTTTTATGTATCCAAACACTCTAACAAGAAAAAGCCTTATGGAGAGTTTATTTTTATCCTTTTGGAGGGTTTTGGGCACTACTGCATATATGAGAGCGCTTTTGAAATTCTCCTGTAGACCTACTCTACAAGAAAAGATATATATAACGATTACTTTTGTCTCAGTTTTTAACTGCTATATATTTAGGATATATTGTAATATATACCTTGATATTATCAATAATCACTCCACATAACACACAATAGTAAATAGGAGTCATTGCCCCTCTTAAAATTTC